CACCTGCATCTTTGCGTTTTTTATTCCAAGAAATTGACCGAAAACGAAAGACGGTATTTGTCAGGATTCCCCCATATTACACTCTGCAGTACTTCCTGGTTCACCGATGAGGCCCCACCTATGCTTGTGATGTCATCCATTCCTGTGTTAAAAGGAAGCTGTACCTGATCTCAGAGGCTCAAGCAATTTGCCACTTTGATACTTGATACTTGGTTGCTATCTGCTGAGAGAGCACCTTCTATTAATCACCTGTGTTCCGAACCTCTTCTACCTGATCCTGATCGGAACAGACTTAAATGCAAAATCCTGCAAATCTTCAGTATACTGCTGGCATCCTAAATCTTCATTAACAGTTGCAAAGGACTTCCATTCTCATTATCTACGGGAATACAGTTACGTTTTTCAGTTAAGGAGATTGACTAATGGATGATACCTAATGATACAGTATCAAATGTATCATTTATCTGCAGTTGTGTTACAAATTAAGTTTTGCTAAAGTATCACAGTATGACATAGGAGATAGGGAATTGTTGGCAATTATCACTGCTCTAAAAGAAGGGCGGCATGTATGAGAGGGTTCTACTGCACTGGTTACTATTCTTACTGAAAACAAAAATCTTTCCTATTTTGGAGAAGCTAAGAAAATGACTGACAGACAGGCTCAGTGGTCTTTGTTTTTATCATGTTTTAATTATAGGGTGATGTACAGATCCGGGTCAAAAAACACTAAAGCTGATGCTCTATCCCATCAGTTTGAACCCAATGCATTACAAAACGTCAATAATACCTGCTCAATGCATAATAGCCACAACTAAAACAGATCTTGTAAAAACCCTGGAAAAGCTTCAGGATCAGACATCAGTTCAAAGAGAAAATGTCCTTTCGCTTATGCATGATGCCAAGATGGCTGGCCATCCTGGTATACACAAGACCGAGTCTCTTCTAGCTAAGAGTTTCTGGTGGCCCTCCTACAAAAAGGACGTTTGAGAATATGTACTTGTCACGTATTCATCCGCACATAAAAATGTGGTTAATGGCATTTACTGTCCTGACAGGAAAAGTTGTGCCGAACAACATTACCGTCTTGACAGAAAAAGTTGTGCCGAACAGCACATGGAAATCTGGTAATAACTTTTGGGGTCAAAGGCCGGTCATGGCCAATCAAATCCACAGGAGGGTTTGTGCTGAGCAGCAATCATGCACATGGAAACCTGGTAATTGCCTTTGGGGTCAAAGGCCAGTTACAGCCAATCGGATCCACAGAAGGGGTATTTAAACCCAATTCTCCTCTTCCTCATTGCCCTGTCGTGGTTTCATGCCTATGGTTATCCGAGAGTGCGTTCCTGACCTTGATTTTCTGGTATTTGACTTTGTTTTGACTTCCCTAATATCTGGTATCCTTGACTTTTGGCTTTCCCTCATCTTTGTGTCTGATTCTGTGTCCTTGACCTCGGCAAGAATTCCAAATAAAACATGGTCTAGTCTAGCAATGGACTTTGTGGTTTATTTACCGACTTCGGAAAATAAAACCATTGTGTTAACCATGGTTGACAGGTTCACTAAGTTGACTCATCTTATATCTTTGGCTAAGTTACTTTTTTCTTCTGAATTTGCCACATTGTTCACAAGAGAGGTCGTTTGGTTGTAACATAGTCATCCTCACCTTGCGGTCAGCGGGCGTGCATCTGCATGACTAACACTTGCAGTATGTTAATGGACGCCGGCCGCTGCGGATCTACGGCTGATTATACCTCCAGGTCCGCTCATGTGACTAACTACATCGGCATGGACATAACGTCACGCATGCACGTTTTGGGGTCAAAGAGCGATCCCGGCCAATCAGAAAGGTAAGGCAGGTATAAAAGCCTAGAATCTTTCCTCACTGCTCTGTCATGGTTTCCCTAGTGGATGTCAGAGAGCGCGTTCTTTATTCAAGTTTATTCTGGTTTTTGACTTTGACTGCCCTGTATTCTGGTATCCCTGACCTCTGGCTTTCCTTTATCGTTGTTTCCCTTTCTGTGTCCCCTGACCTCGGCTAGCACCCTGACTATTCTTTGGTACGTTGGTCCGGCCATTCTAAGGCCTGACATTGGTTACACGGGTTACCTAGCGATATTGTTTCCTACAGGGATTGGAAAGGGTATGGTCCTGAGGAGAGATCATGCATCGAAGCTTCAGATGTTCACGCTCCTGATTTGTTTCGTTCTATTCATGTCTGTTATTCTGATAGGCCAGGCTTTTCCCACCAGGTGGGCGGTTTCGGAGGAGGGGGTACTGTCATGATACTTTACTGTAATCCCACGGACCCACAAGAAGAAGCCAACTCATCCCGACCACAAAAATTCTATATAGTCCACATTCCCTGACGTTTTGGGGGAGTAGATTTAAAGCAAAAGAAACTCCATTTATAAAAGGGCACCTTTTGCTTTTGTTCAGTACCCTATTGTGGTTCACTGGTTGTTCCCTCTAGTGCAGGGGTTCTCAACGTTAGTCCTCAGGACCCCCTACCAGTCCAGGGTTTAGGGATTACCTGGGTGTGTCTAAGGTGTTTAGAAAAAAAAAAAATACCTTAGAGTCTAAGGTGTTTTTTTCCCTTTTTCTAAACACCTGAGACACACCCAGGTAATCCCCAAATCCTGGACTGGTAGGGGGTCCTGAGGACTGGGTTGAGAACCCCTGCTCTAGTGCTATACTGATTTCTGTCAATGTGTTTTGGTATTTGACTTGGCTTGTGTTATATATTGACTATTCTGCTTTCTGGTATCCTGATTCAGCTCATTTTCTCATTTATCCTGTTTTCTGGTTTCCTGACTTGGCTACTCATCGTTATCCTGATCTCTGGTTTTCCTTGACTTTGGCTATACCTCAGCTATACCTCAACCTACTTCATACCCCTACTTTTACCCTTTGTGTCACTATACCCCACTCCCTCTAGAATGTAAGCTCATGGAGCAGGGCCCTCCACCCCTCTGTTCCTGTACGTCCGGTTGTCTGGTTACAATTACATGTCTGTTAGTCCACCCATTGTACAGCGCTATGGAGTCTGATGGCGCTAAATAAATAATGAAATAATAATAATAACTATTCTATCTACATTAAACTCAGCCATTCTAAGGTTATATTCTGCGTGTTGGGTTCACTTGTTGTGACAATATGGTTGTTCGGTTCGGGGCATTTTTTGTCTCCACTTGAGAAAGCCATCATAGGTGAAACTCGTTGTGGATATTTTATTCTGTATTCTTAATAAAGGTATTTTGGCTACTTTTAATATACCTTGATTGTGCCATTTTACTTTTTTATTTATTATTTATTTATTTTTGCATGGTATCCTGTTTTTATCCTTCCTGCTGAGTATTACTCCAAGATATCCTAGGTGGGGATTATACCACTTACGCCCAAGTCATTGAGCAGGTCGTCTGCTCAATCATATGTGAGTACCCATTTTAGTTGATATACTCCTTATATACTATTTTATACAGTGAGCACTATTAGTTGTCTCCTTTTTCTTTTATGATATATATATATCTATACAAGACTTGGCACTCAACACGTATCCTACAAGCGGGGATTATATCGCTGTATGCCATTCACACAAGAGCTGGTTCAAGCTCTACCACATGTGCGTAGTACTATATTAGTCTCTATTGTTGTTATACCATCTTTACTAGACGTACTGCCCTATCATCTGTCTTTTTTCTCCACATATGGACAAAAAGACCAACACCCCTCTACATATCCCATAAGCGGGGATTGTACCGCTGTATGCCATCCACACTAGAGCTAGTTTAGCTCAACTACACGTGAATAGGACTACCATAGACGTCTTCTTCCTGCTATCCCACCTTTTTACTTGACGTATTTGCACTATTATCCTTTTCTCTTTTCACATACGGATCCTGGAAAGCTGCCTCCATTTGATCCATACAGAGAATATCCCTCTTCATAGGCTGTTGATACTCCATCAGGCTCCACTAAAGAGTTTGTTTTATATTACTTTGGACTTTGCTTTTCACTATTTTGGACTTTGTTCATATTAGCTGGACTACAGCCAGCTTTGGCGCAACCTTCATTTGTCTTGTTTTGTGTATACCTCAACCTACTTCATACCCCTACTTTTACCCTTTGTGTCATTATACCCCACTCCCTCTAGAATGCAAGCTCATGGAGCAGGGCCCTCCACCCCTCTGTTCCTGTACGTCCGGTTGTCTGGTTACAATTACATGTCTGTTAGTCCGCCCATTGTACAGCGCTATGAAGTCTGATGGCGCTATATAAATAATGAAATAATAATAACTATTCTATCTACATTAAACCCAGCCATTCTAAGGTCAGCTAATACGTTTTCTATTTCGGTTATATTCTGCGTGTTAGGTTCACTTGTTGTGACAATATGGTTGCTCGGGGCATGAGCACTACATTTCCAACATACCCATATATATGCATACACAAAAGTTACATCATTGAGGTCTGTGGGGGATCTTGCAAGACTTTGTGTCTTTATATCACTCGATTTTAGTGAAATTCCAACACAGTCATAATAAGTATTTCATAAATCTATCTTTATAAAATACAAATATTTCGGTGGATGTAGCGCTTTAAGAAGTGTACTAACTACAGCCATAATTGAATCTTGCACACTGAATGCCGAGATCTTCTCTACAAACAGCAGGGGGCAGCCTTCCACCAAAACTTCATTCCTATGACGTACTATGGACGTAATGATATGAATCGTACAATTACAGAATCGGCCACCTTCGAGCGAAACTCTCCCCACGCTCTGGTATCCCTGTGACAGCATCTATTACTTACAAAGTTTTTTAGGCGACGCCCAGCGCTGACACACTTTAATTCCGCGGCAGTGCGCGTGCGCAAAATCCCAAGCAAGGCCCCCAAGCGCTGTCGACACCGCCTTGTCGCGCATGCGCAGTGAGCCGACCTGAAGTCTCTGTGTGTTTGGGAACCTCCCGCGTCACTCTCCTGGCTCTCCCAGCGCGGATAGACGGCGTCACTGCGCCCAAGTTAAGGTAAGATTTGGGAGCGGAGTTCTCCTATGAGTGCCCCCTCACCCTGCCTGTCTTGGTCTAATCAATAAAGGAAACATAGGAGCGGCTCCATATTGAGAGAGGTGAGATGCTTGTTTATTATACCTGTTGCTGTGGTCTTTCCTTCTGTTCCACAGGCAGTTGACCTCAGCCATAGACTTGTGAGAGGCCTTCCTATATAAAGCTTCACTTTGGCGTCTCAGCTGCTGTACATAACAGGTCCTTTAATGCCGACCCAGCGTCATAGGAATTGTAGTTAATATAATCTGGAGGTCCAAGTCCTGTGTCTTCACTGTTAGGCGATGAGTAGTTTGTATTACACATTTAAATGGCATTAAAGAAATTACACCTGCCATATGCTGATAGCTGTATGGTCATATTGTAGAATCTTGGGCTGCCAGATCCACCATGGTCTACTGGGCACATATCCCTTTTTACATACTGATGGCAATATGTGATAAGTGTTGCCCTGTAGAATGTAGAATCCAAATATTGCAACAATGGAATCAAGTCATGAATCATCGAACACTTCCAAATCATGTGAAGTCTACATTCTTTTTAATGTACTGCACATCAGCATGAAGATGTGACAGATGATGTCTGGAAAAGCCTGGTGGATCTGGTAATCCTATAAGGAACCTTCTAGTTATACAGTCTTTGTGCCAAGGATTGAACATCTGAAAATACACATGAGTGAAAATGTAGAAATATATAGCTATACACACTCCTTGAACACCAGTGTTCTATTTGACAATTTAAGATGATTCTCACTGTCATTCAGTTTGATTGTGTTGTTTTTCATAATTTGTTTTATGGGTTGTTGTGTGTTTTTAGTTTTTGATAAAAATGTTCTGAATACTGGAAATGTGAGCAAAAGAGGGCAGTTAACTAATTTGCTATTTAGAATTTGGGTTGCATTTAAAATATTACTTTGTAATGGTTGGTCCTTGTATGCTCTCATTTGTGTATTGTATTTCATCTGCATAGGCAGTGGTATTCTGTTGATCTACATTAAGTGTTATAAGTATTCATTTTCTTTATACCACTTTCAAAGAGGGTCAAAACTGTTGCTTTACTAGGTATACGTCCACACTGTTGATTTACTAATTTCAAGATTGTAGTTTAAATTATTTAAAGTGGCACTTCATGCATCATTCCTATTATAGCGTATTGCAGTGGTTATGATGCTATAAGGCTATGGGTACCATCTTACTTATTGTTTTTTGTTTTTTTTTGTTTAGTAGTAGTTTCTATCTAGCACTAACAGCCTTCCGCATTGGTGTAGTTAGAAATAAAGAGGGGACACAGCCCATAGGTTTACAGCACTATAACCAGTATTATAATGATCATAACCAGTCATTATAGTTGTCATTAGAGTGGCGTTTTAAGACTATGGTTAAAGTTATGTATTTGGAAATAGCTTGATAAGTAAATTTTTTTTCAGCTGTAAGTTATAAAACCATGGATCTTAAATTAGGATTTAATTGCAAATAAAATAGGTTTTACAAAATACCTTAACCCCTTAAGGACCAAACGTCTGGAATAAAAGGGAATGACATGTCACACATGTCATGTGACCTTAAGGGGTTAAAGGGACACCCTTAAGTACCAGAACCACTACATCTCAATGTAGTGGCTTTCATGTTAAGAGTCTGTCCCTTCAGTCTGACAAATGTAAACCTTACCTTTTCTGTGTTTGTAGTTGTCCCTAAGGATACCTGTTGTGGCTGTCATTCAGACAGCTTTCTATTTGGATTTCTCACACACTGCATGAAGATGCGGAATGCTCCCTATAGAGATAAATTAGTATAATGATTTGAGGAAATGCTGATTTGTTAAACACTGCAGACCCCTAATCCTTCTCTATGGGGAAGCATTGGTTTCACTGAGATGAGTGGTACCTGCAGTGAGGGTTAAAGGTTGAGTAATCTGAAGCTTATGTTTATAGGGCGTCATGTGCATTTTAAATTAAGTACATCTAACATTAGAAATACATGTTTTTATTTTTAACGTTAGATTGGTTCTTCACAAATTCTCACTTACATTGGTGAAAGCAGTACTACTACTATAACAAACTATGTAATGTTAATAGGTGTCTATGACTCGTTTCTATTGACCCGCCTTTTTAAAATGCAAATGAGCAGGAACAGTCTATACAAAAACAGTGTTCACTGCTCCCTTTACACTCCTGAGTTAGTCTGACTCAGAGTAACATGTCACATCCTTATTTATTACATTATGAATTTCAAATTAAAAGGGACACAGCCCAAATACTAAATAAATATAAATCACTGTTTAGTCTAAACGTGCATGTATGTAATTATGCATTTTCTTTCATTGAGGGTATGTCTAAAAACCGCTTTCAAAACCTGCAGTTCTCTCGTCTGCTGTCTTTGCACCAGCCCACCGCCATACTGAAACAACATTCGGAGCATGAGTCAATGTAAACCTTGCAGTAAATTAAGTGGTGCTATATATGCATTTGAATCCAACTTAACTCCCAATTACATATTATTGGCTTGTGCTTAGCCATGGCTCAGATCAACTCTTCCAGTGATCTGAATATGCTGCATAGCATACCTTCGTACAGCAAGTGTCACATCTTTTGTGTGAAAAATGTTTTCATATTGGCAATAATCTGTCTCGTAAACAAATATGGTTGATATTTTACATATGGCAGAGCTTATAGCGAATAATAATGCTTTTTAAAATTTTTTTATTTTATTATATTGGTAGATTGTGTACAGTCTTGGTATCACTTGCAAACTACAGGACTGAATTGTTTTTACTTTTTTTTTTTTTGTAAAATTTTTTTAATTATATTTAAGGCAAGTTATGCAACTAGTGGAACACCTGTCAAACACATACAGAGAAGAAATCTTGAAAAAAAACAAAAAATATAATGGTCTCCACACAATGTAATTAACATATGAAGATATTACAGTTCACCCGAGACCATAAAACCTTGGATAGCAATGAAATGCTGTGAAATCTGGATTTTATTTTTTCAAACTGTGAATAATTAGTTTGATACAAACCTGAGGGAAGGAATTCAGACTCTTTGTACAATAACAGTATATGCTTTAGTGGTTTTGGTGCATATAGTACCATTTTTATTTATTTATTTTTTTTTTTTATTTTATTTTTTTTAAGATTCTTTATTTTTGTTTTATAACATTGTCAGGTACATAAGTATGGTCAAGACAGACATTAAGAACAAAGCATGAACAAAGTATAGGTGGTGAGTGCCAACCCAATGAACTATGGGGTGGTCCATAATTACAGTTAAAGTTGGGTAGTCTGGCTGGTGCTTGTTTACCCTTACAATGGGGTATAGCTCTGTCCAGTAACCAAGGTTCCTTCTGGTGGCAGTTTGCCTGGCCCTGGTCCTGGGGGTTGGTGTCTAGTGTGCCAGACTCTCTAACTTAGGTTAAGTGTAACTGTTGTTGGAGTTGGGTCCATGATGTGAGTGGGATGAGTCTCTCCGTGAGGTGTCGGGGGTTTAAGTCATGGTTATGTTGACCTAATTTTCTTGGGTCTATGGTGATTGGGGTGTTTGGTAGGTGGACTTGTCGAGTATTTCCGGAGTGTTGTCGGTTTGCGAGGTGGTGGCAGTATGGTCACTGGGTGGCGGAAAGGTATAGAATATTGGGTAAGGGATAGAGAATTGAGTTTAGAAAGGGAGGATAAGAGATTGGGGGGTGGACCGCACACCCTCGGGGGAAGGGAGCGGGGACTGGGTTGGTGAGAAGGCATCGTTCTTGTTAATGGAATGTTAGCAGGGGGAGTGGCAATCGCCTCTCCTGATTCAATAGGGAGTGTTACCATAGAATATGACGGCAGATAAGAACCATTCAGCCCATCTATAAATTTTCTAAATACTTTTATTAGTCCCTGGCCTTAGGATAGCCTTATGCCTATCCCAGGCATGCTTAAGCTCCTTTACTGTGTTAATCTCTACCACTTCAGCTGGAAGGCTATTCAATGCGTCCACTACCCTCTCAGTAAAGTAATACTTCCTGAAATTATTTTTAAAACTTTGCTCCTCTAATTTAAGACTATGTCCTCTTGTTGTGGTAGTTTTTCTTCTTTTAAATATAGTCTCCTCCTTTACTGTGTTGATTGCCTTTTATGTATTTAAATGTTTCTATCATACCACCAACCCTCATCTCATCTTTCCTCCAAGGTATACATATATATTTTATGTAAAGTTTTATCATAGGTTTGTGCTGTGAGCCTGTCCATGGCTATACTTTCTAAGATCTTTTTGGTGATTTGTTGTTAGGAGGGTATTTTGAATGTGGACCATACTTCCGTTATTACTTGTCTGGTGGCAAAGGCTACCAGTTTGTTTTCATTGCTGGTGAATGTTTCCAGGGGTTTGGAGAGCAGCAGGGCCAATGGTTCCTTGGGGAATGGTCTGGTTAGGAATTTGGTTAGTAAGGTTGCTATGCTCTGCCAGATGGGGAGATTTTGGGACATGTCCACCAGCAGTGGAGGAAAGTGTCGGTTTCCCCTCACAGTTTCCAGGATAGATTGTTGGGCATGCGTTACATTGCTGCCAGGCGATGGGGGGGCGTTAAGTATCAGTGGAATAGCATTTTGTATGCTTGCTCCTGGTGGGTGACACAGATGGTTATAGATGTTGTGACTTCTCAGATGTCGGACCAGTCTGTGGGGTGCACAGTGGGCCGAGGTAGCGCTCCCGGCTGAGATGTAGAGGAGAGAAACTTGGGATTGGTGCGTTGCTAGTGAAGTGTATAGGTTGGATATCTGTCCTTTTGTGAGATGGGCAGTCTAAGCAGTCACTTTCAAAAGCTGTCAGGGTGGAGGTTGCCGCTAGCCTGACCATTAAGGATTAGGCGAAGCTTCTGAGTTGAAGAAAGAGGAAGTGGTCAAAAGTTGAGGGTCTGCTTGTCTGGCAGTCAGTGTATTGGAGTGCTACTCCGTTTGGATACAGATGAGCTAATCTCGTTGCATTCCTGTCTTCGAAGTGCGCGTAATGCTATCTCTTGCTCTCTGTCTCTCCCCCCACCCCCCCATTGAGGTCCAGTGGGAGGTGCCAGTGTTGAATTTGCATTCCTGTCTTCGAAGTGTGCGTAATGCTATCTCTCTTTTTCTCTCTTTCTCCCCCCCCACCCCCTTGTGGTCCGGTGGGAGGTGCCAGTGTTGAATTTGTGTCAAATGGGCTGCTTGATGGTAATGAAGGCAGTTCAGGAGGCCTAGGCCCCTGTAGAATTTAGGGATGTAGAGTGGGGTTCTTCTTATGCATGGTTTGCGGTTGTTCCAGATGAAAGAGTAGATTGTGGTTTGGAGACCTTGTAGGTTAGATCTTTTGCAGGGGATTGGGAGGGCCTGGAAGGCGTAAAGGAATGTGGGTAGGAGTGTCATTTTAACTGCGGCCACTCTGTCTAACCAAGAGATGCTCATTGGGCTCCACCGTTTTTAGTTCGGTGTGTGTGTGTGCTTTTTGAAACGGGCGGGGGAGGGTGGCCTCATAGAGGGTGGTTGTTGAATTTGTGAGCTCGATTCCCAGGTACGATATGGACTCGGGGCAGATGTGGAATGGGTATTTGCGTTTCAAGGTAGCTATAAGCTCGTCGGGTATATTTACCCGGAGTAGATCTGATTTAGAGGCGTTAATTTGGTAGCCAGATATTTCCGAGTCTGGTCCTATTAATTTTTCTAAATATGGGTTCAGTCTGTTTGTCATCAAAAAAAAAAAAAAAAACAACTTTCGTCATCAGTTTGAGGTCTATGTTTAGCAGGAAAATGGGGCGGTATTGGCCGGGTTTGTCTTGGGGGTTTTCAGGTTTGGGTTCGAAGGTGATGTATGCTTGGGTCATGTCTGGTGGAAGAGGGTCACACTTTGGGAGTACGTTGAAGACATTGCATAATTTTTGGATAAGTGTGTCTCCGAATGATTAACAGTAAAGGCGATGAGGCCGTCAGGTCAAAGGCTTTTGTTGGGCTTGAGGGCGCATAGTGCTATGAATAGTTCTTCCGGAGTGACGTCCGAAGATATCGCTCCTCGAGCCTCGTCCGTTAATGCAGGGAGGTTACGGTCGCGTAGGAATGTGGATGTTCGCGCTTTGATGTGGTCAGCTTAAGTGTTGGGGGTGTGGTTGTATAGTGTTGCAAAATATTGTTGGAAGACCTCACCAATCTTTTTGGGTGTGTCCTATGGTGCCGTCAGGGGTGCAGGTAAACTAGATTTGTTTGGATTAGATAGTGGTTTTAAGGCGGTTGGCCAACATTGTGCCCACTTTATTTCCCTTTTCATAATATTTTTGTTTGGTCCACATCATGGCGTTAGAGGTGGCGGCCAGTGTAAGGCTCATAAGGAGGTCTCAGACTGCTGTAAGTTGGGTCGTGTGTGTTGTGGAGGGCTTCTAAGCATCTAAGTTAGGTCGTGGTGTCGAGTAGGGATTGGTTTTGTTGTTTTTTGCATGCTGTGGCCATCATTATCAGTTTGCCCCGTATGATGGTTTTGTGTGCATCCTAGGATGTGATCAGGGAAGAGACAGAGGGTTTGTTAATGAGGAAATATTTAAGATCGTTGGCTTGGATGGCTACCGTTGCTTTGTCGTGGAGTAGGTTCAAGCGCCAGGTCCAAGGTCTTGTCATGTTGGGAATGGTTAGTGTTAAGAAGATGTCAGCATGGTCTGACAACGTTATGTTTCCTATAGGGGTATGTGTTACCCTGGGTGTTAGGTTGGGAGAGATGCAGAAGTAGTCTGTTCAATAGAAAAGTATTTATTTAAAAAGAAGGTTTACATAATAAGATCGACGTTTCGACCCTTCAGGGTCTTCCTCAAGATCAACATGTCTAAGTCTGTGAAATCAATAAATAGTAAATTTAGGAAAGTACTCACCAATGGTGAACTGCCTCCCTCACTCTCTCCGTGCATACCCGGAAGTGAACCCGCGATCACGTGATGTGTCGTGATGCCGACGTGATGACGTGTGACTGGTTGCTAAGATACCAGTAAAACAAACGTGAATAAGAGCGTATATAATACCGCTGTATAATTGAATATATAAAAGTGTATGCATACTGTGAAATGACTAATATACTTTTTCATTGCAATACACAAGTAAAGTGTGAAGTGAATTCCAGTTTGTCCCTTTTCTTGTATATTGTCACATCCAAAAATTGGATTGATTCCACATCATATTGAACAGTCAATCTGACCGGTGTTGGTAATTGATTGATTTCCGTAATCATATTTTCAAATGATCTGGCGTTCCAATCTAAATAAGAAAAAGATCGTCCACAAATCGGTAATAGTGTCTAATGTATTGTCCATATCTTTGTAGAATGTGGGTTTGTTCGAACATATACATATAAGCATTGGCATATGATGGTGCCATAGCTGCCCCATCGCAGTGCCAGTTAATTGTTTGTTTGTAATTTTTTGTTTATTTATATATATATATATATATATATATATATATATATATATATATATATATATATATATATATATATATATATATATATATATATATATATATTAGTATTACCATTTTACATGTATTGCTTAATGTATTATCATCCATCCACATTATTAGATGAGACAGTAGAAAGGTTGTTCTGAAGAGATTTGAAGTGCACCTTCACAATGCCTGCCAAGGAAGAGCAGATGGAAATGAGTGAGATGCTGTTTGTGTATGTGGCAAACTTTTGAGGGGTGCAGGTAGCAAATGTGCTATACATCAATACAATCTTCCTTCTTCTTACCTTTGGTGAGGGGGCACACAGCCAGCCCTGGTGGTCCGGTGGTGGTGAGTTCTGTGTAGCCTGCAGCTTGTCTCCTGTCCTCCCGAGCACAGTATGCTGTGTGGAGCATTGCCATGGTAACGTGTGGCAACGCTCCACACATCCTGCTCACAGGAGGAGCGATCTGCCTTACTGGTTCTTCCTCTGCGTCCTACCATGCCTTCTCTGCCCGATCAAAGGGCCCTTGGGCCGGTGAGGGAGATTTCTGATCTCCCTCACTGGCCCGAGAGGGCCCATGTCCAGCAGAGATAATCAAAGGATCTACCCTGTCGGCTGGGCAGCAGGATGGGGCCCCCATGCCTGTGGAGCCCACGGGCAATGCTCAGTGTGCCAATGCGGAAAGACGGCCCTGTTGATACAATATTGTTATGTTAATAAACTGATAAATTACATGTTATGAGAGTTTAATGATTTCTCTGGGATTTATTCTCGAGATCTTGATACCAATCTGTAAGTGTATTTACAGGTGATTTCCTCTAACAAAAGATAGCCGTCCTGAGCTTTGACCTTATCTTGAAAAGGGTTTGTACATTCAAATATAGTTATACTTGTGTTTTTGAATTTGGGAAAGTGTGATGTTTATTGAAGTCTTTGATTGGTATTCCAATAGAATCACTAATGGTAAAACCTCTCCCTCTGTTATGGTGGCTTGCTGTGAGATTTTAGAAGGGCAAAATACAGTATAAGTAAAGGAATATCTTCTTCTGATTCTGAGATGATTGGTACTTTGTGATAAAGTAAGGAGTTATTGAGAATTATTCTTATTAACATTTGTGATTTAAAGGTGATCATTTTGAATCACTCAGCCTTCAAAATAAATAAATAAATATATATATATATATATATATATATATATATATATATTTGTTATTGTAGATGAGATTTGCGCAATTTGTTCAACTGCACTTTTCGGCAGACATTTCAGCTACACATTGGATTGTTTTAGCCTAAATTCCGAGATTCTTTCAGTTGACGTTGAAGTCCTGGCAATCCGCACTTAAGTGAATAGCCTCTTTAATAAGCGAGCTCTGTCATGTACATTGTCTGGATTTCCCAGGAGAAGTACCCCAAAGAGGTTGGGTGGATCAGTCAAGTTCTTACATGTTGGATAAAACAGGGGCTAGGTGCAGCTCCTAGAATAGGTCTTATTTGGATATATGCAAAAACAAGGAAAACAAACAGGAAAAACTGATAGTGTAGTATATTAAAGCATGTGTCTAATCTTAAGAAAGTTATTGCCAGGAAACAGAGTGAAGGGCACTTATCAAGTCTGCAGTGATATCCAGGTTATCAAGCAGTGAAGGGCACATTTCAAGTCTGCAAGGATAGCCAGTATATTGAGAAAGCTCTCTGTGAATTTAAGGTTGGGGTTTTATGTCTGTAAATTTTAATAAGTTTACTTCCCTTTACCAGAACCCGCTTTGGAAACTTGGAAATCCTCCTACTCGGACTCCTAGTTTAGATTTCAGGTGTGCTAATTCTATTTTGCTTCAATCTTTGAAAAATTGATTAATAACACCCTTTCATGTAACTTGGAGATGAGGGCTCAACTCAGACACTGAAAAGATATATTAAAAAGGACTTCACTGTTTCTTCACATTTCCTGGAATTTTGTTTTTAATGAAATATACTTCTCATAATAATACTAGGGGTTTCTGAGTTAATTTTAAGACCTGTGCTGTTTTCTTGGTGACTGTTTACGTTGCTGTGTTAATTTTCTTTTTTCATGTCTATTTAATGTTTAAGGAACTTTGTAGGGGTTATGGTGCTGTGAGCTTGTTGAATATCATTTTCTACCCTACAGAGGCTTTAGTGGTTATGCTGCTTGTGTGCTCATTTAAGTGTTTTTTTATTTTTTTTTTATTTTTAGTTTTTTAAGTACTGTCGGTCATAGTTTCTTTAACATAAAATTAATATTTGTGTATTTTCTAGAAAGTCTATGACTCCGTCTAACTGTAATGCCTGATTATATTGTCAGTTTGGCATAAATTTAAAGGGACTGTAGACACTTAAAATCATTTTATTTCATTAACTGGTTATAGTGCATTAGCGTTTTATTATCTGTGAATGCCTCAATTTTTTTTTTTTTTTTTTTCCTCTTGATGGCAATAAAAAAAAAAAGTTGCAAAAAAATAAATTGGGCATGACTTAAAAATGATTTGACAAAAAATGCAGGAGTAGTTGAGGTCACTATTTCAGTGGAAATTTACAAGATGGAATTGTCCCTTCAACTCAACCTCTTGGTTTGCTTAATCCAGAATATATATCTTTCCCTCTCCCCAGATTGTAGAACATAGCATCCTGCACTAGCGTATTTACTACATCTCCAGGTGACTGTTAGGGGGGTAGGTGTGACTAGGAGTCTGTTTATAAACCATATATACTAAACCCTCCTCTTCCAGTGCTTCTTTACTGTTTCTAATATAACACCAGGCTCGACAAATTCCAGGTGCCAGTTTGCCATAGACTATATTTTTTTCATGTTATAGGACTTATTATATCTGACATGTCTAGTCAGGCATATCAGACATTTGATATTTGTTTTATTCATACCCGAGAACTGCTGTGGCAGCTCCCTGCTTCCACTACTTCTGCCTGGGATTTTCTCGGGAGAGCTAAAAGAAGCAGGAGCTTCTAGTTCTGTCCGAAGTGGAGGAGGGGAGTGGCACCCAGTGGAATCCTGTAGTTTGTAAGCATTTAATATTTTGATTTAAATATACTGACATGGCACTAAATGGAAAATTGGCACTTAGCTCATCACTAGACTGCTACTGTATAAAGATTGTATCCTATACATGTTTAGCTTTGTCCTCCATAAGAACTCAACTGGTTCTGCCATTAAAGGAACACTATAGTGTTCGTGTTCCTAACGCTATAGTGCCTTAGTCACCATTTGCGTGAACCCCCTGGGAATAGTTGAAGTGAGGGTTAGCTTACCTTGTTTCCAATGCCGCATTGTCCAATATGCTCTTTCTGTGGCTGGCCCCAGCTTGATCATCTCAGCCAATTCAATACTTTTCCCAATCAGATTGTCTTTTCAGGCTGTAAAAGCAGAGTTTTACTCTATTTTATGTAAGCG